AGATACTAGATCGCTACATTATATTCCTCAGCAACGAGGTGGTAAAATCACTGTTTTTGAAGTAATTGTTTGTACAGAGAGACGCGCAGACACAGCACGCAGGTAACTGACACACAACTGTCATCTCTCTCTCTCGATAATTAATTGAAATACATGCTATAATTCATTCAAATAAATGTAGTCTTACCGCACTATTTAATCTCTGTGTATGATTTGAAGCAGGCAGAATGCTAGCGCTAACGTGCCGCAACTGACGAAAATAAATGCACGGCTAGCCGTTGATTATCCCACTTATTCCATGGTCATTTGCCAAGTTATAGACAAGTTAAAACTAGTATTGCTCTTTGCAGCACAATATTTGACCGAATGGGTAAAAATGACGTTAGCATACTTATTTAACATTTATTTTAAGTACAATTTTTTTTTTTTTTACTTAACAATATAACCCTGCTTGATGCTCTTTTTTTTTGTCTGGATCTATTAATTTATTCAAATATACATTTAAAAAAGCAATTCAGACACACAATAACTTGAAGTCTCCTATGAATATGTTCTACATTTTGGATTTAAAATTAAAAATTGTTGATATATTTTGGGGCATAAAGTAAAAATGTCAGAGTGGTACAACTGTTCTGATATCATAATAAAGAAAAAAAAAACTAATTAAAAGAATGAAATTTGTGAAATAAATTATTATAAAAAATTTTTTTCTATATTATTAAACAATTTTATCAGGTTATATGTCATGTTGTTCAACTCTGATGTTTATGATTTAAATTCATGGTATCTGTCACAAAAATCTTTATTACCTTAAAAAATATAAGTGAAAATATGAAAATAATTAAGATGTGTACACTCATATGTATTGAAGGTGTAAGGAAAGTACTGTTTTACTTGATAGTTACAGTACATTACATTTATCTACACTTTTCTTTAGAAATTGTATAAAAGTTTCTTCAAAACCATATGAAACCAACATGATCTTTTTAAAGAATTTTCACATTTTGAACTAGATTTTTAAAAGATTTTTCCTTTTCTTTTTCATGTATGCTCTTATTTGTTCATGACCCGTATTCTTACCTGTGCATTATTATTATTTACTTTTTTATTTTTTACATTATTTCTCTTTCATAAGGTGCCTCTGTTGACTCAGTGGAAAGGAAAGTACAGTGTGAAGCTCAACATCTCCAACCCAGAAGCCACAAATTGGTTTCTAGACAAAGTGGACAGCTTGCATAGCCATTTGGGCATGGAGTATGTCATCCTGGAAGGAGGTGAGGGAAACCCTTTCGAGGAACAAGCCCTGCGCCTCCCTCTGGCATGGGTTGGGGATGAATACATCAGACTCTTGGCTGACCTGGCAGAGAGGATAGGGGACAATGCCATTGTGACCTCAGGAACAAGGTATTTGGTTTAAATTGGTAAACAATCCCAATAATTTACGGTGATTTTGTCAAGTAGCACATGGATAAACATCCTTGTTGGTCCGAATAGCAGATTTTAGGTTGAGAATTGGGATTTGGATCAACCGAAGATGTCAATCCAAGAATTTGTCCCATTTGGCAAAATCACAACCACTGACTACCATTTTGGGAACAATTGACAGACTTTGTTCATACAGGGAACCAAAATCCCAAATCCATTCTTGGCGTGTCAAACTCAAATCTGTTTAGATGTAGTCATCTGAACCTCCCAAAAAATACACCAAATCTGATTTTTTACAAGTCTGATCCAAACCACATGCATACGTGAGATTTAAAATCCGTTTAACTCTTTCTCCGCCATTGACGGAATTTTCCAGCTTTCCGTGTTATTCACTGTTATATGGTAGGAGGTGCTATTACACATCTTATGAAAGAGTATTGCATTTCTAGATCAAAACATGGTGAAGAAGCAGAAACAAGTGATCGCGTATGTAAGCAGAAGCATGTCAAAATAACGCGTAATGTAAAATATCATCAAACGTTAAACAGCATATAAATCAAAACTGCCTAACGTTACGATTTTCACAGCTTTTTTTTTTTTCAAAATGTTGCTTTTTGTCATGAAACTTGCTCACATTTAAGTGTTGATAAAAAAGAATGCATGAAGCTAGAATAAAAGTTTTATTTTTTTTAATGATCAAAAATGTTGGCGGTTGTTTTAAAAAATGCTGGTGTGGAAAGAGTTAAAATGGTTTTTCAGAAGATTTTATGAATGAGGTATCATGTTATCAGCACTGTGGATATACCATGTGTAACTAGAGGCACAATTTCCAGTTTTCCATCTTCTCTTTCCACAATGATAGCTACTCGTTGTTGTTTTTGTTGTTGTTGTAAAAGAAAGTCTCTTCGCATATGTTCTGTTTGCATTTGCATTGTTGGATCCAAAATGTCAAGTAGACAGTCACTCGTTTGAAAAACAAACTTTCCCGTAAGAAAAAAAAAAATTGGATTTTGAAAACAAATTGGAATTGTGTTGAAGGTGATTCAAATTGTTTTTGAACTTTAGAACTTTTGAATTTTGTTCGCACAGGTCCAGCCACAAAGCGCTCTTCATCCGTATGAGTGCACTGCAGTCAGACTGGAGTTACTCTGGGCTCAAAGGCATCATTCCATCCCTGCTGCATTACAGCCTTCTGGGATATAGTTTCTTCATTCCTGATGCAGTAGGTAATACCTGCCCACACATACATAAATACACATGTACTTTTTGTAAAAATGCATAGCATAGATAAAGACAATAACATTGATTCAACTGTCTTCTTTAATCCTTTACAAACACAGAAGACCACTGGCACGCAGTTGTACAATACACAGTATGATATGAATAAATCTCATAAAATATCTCCAGAATATTCCCAGGTCATATTTGACCAATTAATCAAAAAGGGGAAAATAATTAAATTTTGCAATTAAAAAAATTTTTTTTTGCATTGTTATTTTAACAGTTAAGCACATTTTTCTCACATATTCTCAAATTACTGTAATAATACATCATATTTTACATTAAATATTTTATAGGAATTAAATGTATTGATTTAGATTTTAAAAATGGATTAAAGTTGTTGTTGTTGTTGTTTTTTTCAGAAAAAATCTTTTTGAAACTGAACAGTTTATTGAACCTTAAATCTAATAAAAAGTTTGCATATGTGTATCGTATTTGATAAATCAGGCTTTTATGGCTTATTTAGTATGATAGAGAATATGGAGCTCATATTTATCACATCAGTTTTATTCAGAGGCCCAAACTGAGCAAAAATATGCAATTTGGTGCAGATGCTGATATTAATATGGCCAAAACACAAGATGAAATTCTGAATGCTTGTAATATAAATCAACGAGATCTTTATAACAGTATAACAGACTACTTACATAAAATGTAAAAAACATAAGTTGCTTCACTCCAGTAAGTGTTATTCTTGAAATATTACTAAAACTATGATAATAGAACCTTAAATCTAATAAAAAGTTTGCATATGTGTATCGTATTTGAGAAATCAGGCTTTTATGGCTTATTTAGTATGATAGAGAATATGGAGCTCATATTTATCACATCAGTTTTATTCAGAGGCCCAAACTGAGCAAAAATATGCAATTTGGTGCAGATGCTGATATTAATATGGCCAAAACACAAGATGAAATTCTGAATGCTTGTAATATAAATCAACGAGATCTTTATAACAGTATAACAGACTACTTACATAAAATGTAAAAAACATAAGTTGCTTCACTCCAGTAAGTGTTATTCTTGAAATATTACTAAAACTATGATAATATATTCTTATATATATGTATATTATTATAGTTTTTGTGTTATATATAATATATACTGTATATATATATATATATATATATATATATTCTATTATGTGTACTAATATGTTCTTACATTTACTTCATAAAAATCAGTAAATACTGATTACCACATACCATGAACTGAAGAGGGATGAACAGTACAATTACACTGAAAGGCCTTTTACTTAATAAAAAAAGTATAAATTATCAATCAGACAACAGAAGGCATGTAGTAGATTGTGTGCAACAGGTTTTTCAGCAATTTTTGATCACATTGATAATTTAGAGCCTTTAGAAATGTATCAAATATGTTGCATTTGACTTTATAGGGTTAAGCACATTTTCCCTCCAAATTCTAATGAAAATATCACAATGCCAGAAAATCATGATTGTCCTCAAAAAATTGGAATTTCTTGACATGTGAATACATTTGTGGGACTTTCAATCGCAGGAGGCTCGCTCTCTGCCGAACTGGTTGCCGATGATGAGCTCTACGTTCGCTGGCTGGAAATCGCAGCCTTTCTTCCTGTCATCAGCTTCCAGACACCTCCATGGGTCTTTGAGAAGGAATGGGTGAGTGCCCCAAGGGCGGGTCCTCAGCCCCATCCAGGTTTTAGCTTTCACTTCAGTTCCTTTCCTGTTGTGGCCAGAAAATAAGGGATAAGATGGAGCCAAGTGGGTCATACAATAAGAAAGACTGAGTTCTCAGGAAGCAAAACTGGGCGCAACATGTTGGCCATTGACAGTTAAATGCCTAACATAACATAAGGAACATAATACTCATTCACTCCATGGTGTACCATGAAAGGCCCTCCTTAAAATACTATCTAAATACACGCCAGAATATCCAGTCTCAAGCACTGATATGTTTGAGCCCGGTTTGAGTTTAGGACCAGCACAGAGGGTCCTCCAGGTGGCCATTTTTCTTGCATTTCACATGTGGTAAACGTCCATCTGGTCTGCATTAGCATCTCTTTCAAATTTATGACTCTCAATCTCAGCAGTAATGAGAACCACTGCACCAGGAATGATAATGAATCACTGGATAAGAGGAAAAGAAAATTTTCAGAGACAATTACAGGTTTCATTTGTGATTTGACTTTACACTCCAGAATAGGGGGTGGTCATTGTTTTTGTTTTTTTCCCCTAATCACTGGTAGGAGTAGATCTTTCGATGTATTTCATTATTAGAAATGGGCAAATGTAGTTATATTAAGCAGGAAGTAGAGGGACAGTTGACTCAAAAATGAAAATTTTGAAAACGTATTATTCATGTTGTTATTATTCCAGACATTATGTTGTTCCAAACCTCCTTCTGTGGAACACAAAGGCCACCTACACACTGTGAAGTTTCAGTTGTGACAACCACATTTAAATACAGGAGTGAATCCCCTAAATTATTATATTGTGTGTGTATGGAACAGAAATCACAATCAAGACTGTGACGATTGTCACCGTCGTAAAAACAGCAATGTTTTGCCATCTTGCGCATTTGGTATCTACGGTGTTTGTTCAAAGTAATATTACACTGACCAAAACCTTGTTATGTTCAGCAATTTTAACTAAGTCACTGTCAACAAAGCCAGTGAGTTTTGTTTATGTTTGGAAGGCTACTTGAAATGTTGCCATGTCCACTTATTATAAGCGACGCTTATTAAGTGTCTTTGGGCTTGTTGTTTGGATTTGGCTCATAAAGCGATCCAGTTTATGGAGATAATAGAGTAGACCACGTGCAGGTCGCTATATTGTGGTATGTGGCTTATTTCCAAGATAATGCGTTTGGATTTGAGTTTATTATGGGCTTGTTCTTATTAGTTGCTGTTTTCCTAGCAATATCTGGCAACACTAATGAGTCAAAACATACCCTGTGATTTCTTTCACTGCACAAACAGAAGAAAGACACAACTGTGATACACATTTAAATATATCTTTAAAGACTAGCTGTTCAGTTCGGTTCTGTACACACTGCGATTTTTATAAATGCGGTTGTCACCTGAATTTTTCGGGAGTCAGTTTGGTTGTAGAATGCGTTTGTAACTCCTGTAAATTACTGAACTGTGCATGTACAGAGCAGGATTAAGCACTATAATGTGAAGTGATAAATGGATTTAGCTGCAGTGTGTACATTAAAGAGAGACATATTGAAAAAAGCAGAACCCTGAAGTTTTCAAGCTTCAAAAAGAACAAGAAAGCAACAAAAAGCAAACAGGTATTCTAAAAGTAATCCATACAACTGAAATGTATGTTGTTATTCTCACAAAAATCTTGACATCTGTCCATCTGGCTTTGGAATGTTCATGAGGGAAGCAGCATTGTCCGATTAATGAAAGAATCATTCTTTTGAGTCAGATCTTTCAACTGAATCAGACTCATCACTGAATCGTTCTCAAATCAGACTGACTCTGCATGGAAAAAAGTTGTAACGTTCTCATTTTGTGTCCTAAGGAAAAACGTCAGATGGATCTGGTAAGACATGAAGGTGAATAAATAATGACAGAATTTTAGGGTGAATTATCCCTTTAATAGCTCTATGACTTCGGTATTGGAACGGTATTGGAAAATTCACTGGTTTTGATCTTGGCTCATGAATATCATCTGGACAGTCTTAACCCTCTTAAATCATTAGTATTAATATTAAATGTGTTGATCATACTGAAAGGCTTTACTTGCCTTTATTTTCAATTCTCTTTAGATTATTGGCTTCTGCAGGCAGCATGTGTGTGTGTGTGTGTGTGTGTGTGTGTGTGTGTCTCTCCAATGTGTATCCCTTTGAAAACAAAACTTTTTTTTGCATCCAGCGAGCAGAACGAGGCCTGTGCGAGTACTGACTTGCGCCGAGATGAGTTCTGGAGTGCCCTGAGAGGGTTCTTTTAATCCTTATCTCCAGTCTGCAATCAAACCTTTCACTATTTAACCTACACCGTCATCCAAATGTTCTTCAGAACTGTTCTGATAGAACAGATACACTTACGTTCACACAAACAAATCCCAATCATCCATTCATGTTGTGCATAAAAGCATGTGTGTGTGTGCTGGATGTGTTGTGAATGGTTTTAGCACATTGCCATGCGGTCGCTAGGGTTTTCTGGGTAGTTGCTTGGTGTTTGCACTCCGTGTGTCTCTGTGTGTGTGTCTCTGTGTGTCTGTGTGTGTGTGTCTCTGTCTCTCTGTGTGTGTCTGTGTCTCTCTCTCTCTGTGTGTGTCTGTGTCTCTCTCTCTCTGTCTGTGTGTGTGTGTGTGTGTGTCTCTCTCTCTCTCTCTGTCTGTGTGTGTGTGTGTGTGTGCATGTACTAGCTTTTGTGCGATTACCCAACACCCATCAGAGACTCAATGTTGGGTCTAAATAGGAGGAAAACCGGAATAGAAGCCGCAGGCCTGTTTTCTCCATTTAAAATTAGGCCGAACTCAGGCAGTTATTCAAAATTCATCGCATGAAACTTTTTTTTATCTAAAGAATACATTTTTTATGAACGTGGTTTTGCTTTGTTTCCGTCACCAGAGGCTGGCTAGGAAGTTAACTAAAGGATATGACCTCGGAAGGAATGTTAAAAACGAACCACAGCAGAACTAGACGAGAACGGCGTTCAACAGAAACTCACATCCTCTTTCATATGTTTTATTAAATGTTCACTGACAGTTTCACCTTTTTCTAGGTCCTAAACCTCACCAGATTCTACATAGCCAAGCACCACGACTTTGTCATTCCTTTGATACTGAAATACGCAGAGGAATGGAAGGATACTGGAAACCCCATCTACAGGCCGCTGTGGTGGCTCAGTCCAAACGACCCGATCACGTGCACCATTGATGATGAGTTTCTCATTGGAAATGAGGTAAGCTGCTTCTAGAAAGGTCAGTTTTTTCCTAATTGGCCCATTTAGGAGTAACCTGAGCTTAAGTACATTGCTCAAAGACATGGTGACTGATTTTACCAAATAGGACACGTTTCTGAATAAGTTGTTAGTTTTGGAACAATACAGTCCAAACCTTCCAGCCCATGTAATCACTAGATTATATGTTTTCAGTGTTGATTTCCACAATGAAGTTTCTGATGAGATGTTAGTTAATGAAGGGTTTTCAAAGCCAAACTTTCAAGTGCCGGTATTGCACATAATTTTACACTTTCCCACAAACTCTGTGCTCATAATGAGGGAAGTTCCCACAAACATTCATTCGCTATAACAATGTGGGTCAATAATTTGAAATCTTCCTCTCGGGCTGTTTGTTTCTTATGCTAAAGCTATTGCGCAATGACAATGACCCCACAGAACCATCTAGCATCTAAAGCCTAAAGTATACTACGTTTTTGTACACCAGTGTTGCCAAGTCTGTGGTTTTCCCGCAAAATTAGTCTACTTTTATACTGTTGCCACAGGAAACACCCCTCCCCCCAGAACGTGATATCGAGCTGGTTTTGTTACACAGACCTGGCAACCCTTGCGTATGCATAGAGTCGACATGTAGCCTTTCATAGTATACTCCACATGATAGCGTTCACAAACGCAGGTGGTCGACATTTGCACTCTAGAAAGCTTCAAAAGTTTTTTTCATAAGTTATGACCAAAAAAATGTCTTTGTACTGTTTTAAACTAAAGTATTGGCTCTTTCATAACCCCCTCACACAAGCGCTTGTCAATGTGGACATCTGTTGTTGTTGCAGTCTCTGTTATTTTGTTGTTGTTGTTCCATTTATTTAGTTTTGTTTTCTACTGTGAAACAACGGCCTGGCCAGTGCTGCCACCTTGTGGAACAACTCATTAGTGCAAAATAAATTCAATGCAAATGTGCAACCTGTGCGTACAAAGTATGCGCGGTTACAAAAATCGAGTGGTGCGCGTACAGTACTATTCTGGTGACGAAATTTGCATCACACATTTCTGCAGGTATCTTCCTAACAATATAAATATGATTCAGCATATGCATTTCTTAAATAGTAAGTGTCACCTTGTAGATACTAAACCCAAATTCAAATCCTAGCCTTCCAGGAGCAACAAGGCATGCCCATAGCCAGCTATGAGGTCACAGAGGTCCGGACCTTGGTAAATTTTTAATGTTCAAAAATAAAATTTGTTCTCTAAATGACTAATCTGCTGTTTAAAGCTCCTCATATGAGTGTCTGCATGTATAATTAAGTTTAGACAGTTTACAAGAATGTTTAACGCCCGTGGTATGAAAATGATCGCTGCGAGACGCTGGCAGAGTGAACAAAGCTTGAGAGAGTTGTGAGTGAGGGCGCGGGCGCAGCCTCCACTGTGTTGCCAGATCCAGTTATTATAAGCGTTTTTGGACTTGTCATTTCTACTTAATTTGACACTTTAGAAAGTTAATAAGTGGGAAGTTGCAATTTAGGGCTAGCGATATCTTTATCTTATCTTATAAGATTTAAACTCATGTCGATTTATTTTATTTATTTTTTTGTTTTCATCGCATTATCTGGCAACACTGCAATGATTGCCAGAGCTTAAACTGAGACTAATCAAAAGAGCCCACGGACATGTTATTGCTGACAGGATACCACATTCGGTAAGGCAAGCGCAAAAAAAACACAAAAAATATGTGATATTATCTGTAAGAAACGTTATCAACGCTATCAAAACAGTAGCATACAACATACAGCAGAGATCTGTAGAACTAGTAGGTTACGTCTATATGCTATTTCATTGAGTATTGTAGTTACATTTTCACAGTTATGCCAACAACATTCATAGGAGCACTAGACTATATAGTATAATAGCTATATAGCTATATATAGATATAATAACTATATCTATATAGCAATGGTTATTAATGAAAACTACAACAGTAATAGGCCTATGTATTGTTGAATGAATAATAAACAACTGATAAAATGATATACCCCTAACCTAAAGTAATGGTGCAATATGATATAATTTAACAATGCTCATTCCTCCAAAACAAAGAAAACATCTTTAACAAACATCTACATATCTGTCTCTTTTAAAGTGTTTAGTGTATATAATGAGTTGTATGTGGGGCTATTATAGCACAATTCTTAACCCCACCCCAGCCCAGACCTCACTAATTTTCAAACCCTGGCTACGGCCATGCACAAAGTGATGTTGATCAAGTGCTATCTGGCAAAATCATGGTCATCAAATGGCACAATAGTGATAGTTTATAGGTCATCCCTGTGGGTTTGAACCTACAGCCTTTCAATTTCCAATCTAGCTAGGCTACACATTCGAAACTAGGCTTTCGAGGTGATCTCTGTTATTGTATACTTGAAGTTTTACATTTTTGTCTTCTGCTTTTGTAGGTCCTTGTTGCGCCGGTTACTGAAAAAGGAGCTTTACAAAGAGACATTTACCTGCCGGAGAGTGACTTTCAGTGGCAGGACACTAAGAATGCTCAAATGTTTGACGGAGGGACGTTTCTGGAAAGTTACCCGGTCAGCCTTGGGGACGTGGCGGTATTTGTTCGATGGAGATCCTGAGGCTTACTTACCACTTTTTTTCTATTTTTGAAGATTTTTGTGCTGATCTCAAATTGCACTTTCCATAAAGACCATTATCTGTGTCTCAAGAAATCTTGAGATTAGGTAGAAGATAATTTGCACTTTAAAAATCTAAGTGGTTTATATTTTCTCATGATTTTTAGATCCCTCTTGTTTTTCTTCCGCTACTTGTTTTGTTAATTCATAAGATTTTTTTGGACTTTTTTCTTCAGAACGCAGTTTACATTTGATAGATTCTTACAGTCTCTTAAATTGTTATCATGACATGGAGCTAGAAATCAAACCCTTTGCTTAAAAACAATCAATGGAATTTTACGAAGACCAAACAATCAATATAAAAAAATTTAAAAACGCTAAATTGAGAAAGACTCTACAAGGAAAAACCAATGCGCTAAATGGATGAAGATGAAAGTACGCTAAACATCACTCATCTCATCTCAGCGCGGTTTTTACTTGAACTTTGCTGAATATTTTACTGTAGTTTTGTAATGTTTTACCAGTACCTCAAGTTCTCATGGTGTTTTTGACATATATTTTTCGACATGAACTGTGAGAGAAGCACTTACTGATAGAGAAGACTGATATCAAGGGCTTTTAGGGTGAATAGCACTATTATTTTTGTCTACAAAAGAATATTCAAGATCATTAGTATTAGAATTAGAATCATTAGTCAGGGAACTAATGCGACTCTCTAATCATTAGGGGGGATGATTAGAGAGTGGTTAGCCTAATGGTTAGAGAGTCGGTCTCGTAACCCAAAGGTTGCGGGTTCGAGTCTCGTACCGGCAGGGATTGTGGGTGGGGGGAGTACAGCGCTCTCTCCCACCTTCAATACCACGACTGAGGGGCCCTTGAGCAAGGCACCGAACCCCCAACTGCTCCCCGGGCGCCGCAGCAAAAAAATGGCTGCCCACTGCTCCGGGTGTGTGTTCACGGTGTGTGTGTTCACTGCTGTGTGTGTGCACTTTGGATGGGATAAATGCAGAGCACTAATTCCGAGTATGGGTCACCATACTTGGCCACATGTCACGTCACATTAGTAGAAGAATATGAGCCAATGTCAAACAAAACTTTCATAGCTGTACAGTCTTAGTTAAATGCAACACACAACACAAAGGACAAATTGTTATTTCATAATGATGGTTTTTGAGAGATTTTGATAGTATGCTGATTTTAATAATTATTTGTCTAGCTTCTTACAATTGACCAGATTAACCAGTATGGTATTTCTAGATCTCAAGTAATTCATAGGACATTATTGAAGGTAGAATTAGAGTTTTGTATTTATATCAATTCAGACTAAACTTCATCATTCATTGCCTTAACTTTGGAAATACTTTGTACTCTTGTTTAAAATACCTGGTTTTATGAAATAGAGTTGCTAATTGTTATAAAGCTGAATTCCGCCATTACAAATTATTTGGGATATCGGATGTAGATTTTTTACAGCCCGAGGGCAACATTTGTCGTGTAGAATTGTGGTTTAATGAGTTTGGGCAAAATGCAGATGCATTTTATAATAATTTGATAGAGGTTGTGTATGGCAAGCTGTTTTAACATTTAATCTATAACACACTAGTATGTAGTTTCATGCTACTAGTGCTTTTTTTTGCTGCTAGTATATATTCCATTATGTATTAATACGTACTTTTTGGCTTCTAGTGCTTATTCTTTAGGTACTAGTACCTTTTTAAAAGATACTAGTACTTATTCATTAGATTCTAGTATCAATTAAAACAAGAATTTAAGAGTAGGAAGAGTTTTATTTTACTAGTAAGATTTTTAATTGAACTCTACGGTGGCCATTCTGACTAGTCATAACATAAGACGAGTTAAAAAGCAGTTGTGACTAGTATAAGATTTGTTACTAGTAACAACTGCAAAAGATACTATTGTCTAATAAGGACTAGTACCTAATGAATAACTGCAAGTATCTATTAAACAGTATTGATTAAGTACTAGTGTCTAATGAATAATTACTAGTAAAATGTAAAAGGATACTGGTCACTATTCGAATACATAGTAGTCAGAACTGAATAGTTGATATGTTAATGACAGATTCCTATAGTCAATGTAACAATTGTAAATGTGTTACTAGTAACAATAGTTAATAGTTACTCTTGAAAGTAAGTGAGAACTAGTAACTAATGAATAAGTACTAGCAGATAATGAATAAGCACTAGTAGCTAGTGAATAAGTACTAGTAGCTAACAAATAAGAACTAGTAGCTACTAGTAACTAATGAATAAGTACTAGTAGCAAATGAATAAGTACTAGTAGCAAATGAATACGTACTAGTAGCAAACGAATAAGTACTAGTAGCTAATAAATAAGTACTAGTAGCAAATGAATAAGTACTAGTAACTAAGGAGTAAGTACTAGTAGCAAATGAATAAGTAACTAAGGAATAAGCACTAGTAGCTAATGAATAAGAACTAGTAGCTAATGAATAAGAACTAGTAACTAATTAATAAGTACTAGCAGCAAATGAAAATGAACAAGTAACTAATGAATAAGTACTAGCAGCTAGTGAATAAGTACTAGTAGCTAACAAATAAGAGCTAGTAGCTACTAGTAACTATTGAATAAGTACTAGTAGCAAATTAATAAGTACTAGTAACTAAGGAGTAAGTACTAGTAGCAAATGAATAAGTAACTAAGCAATAAGCACTAGTAGCAAATGAATAAGTAACTAAGGAATAAGCACTAGTAGCTAATGAATAAGAACTAGTAGCTAATGAATAAGAACTAGTAACTAATTAATAAGTACTAGCAGCAAATGAAAATGAACAAGTAACTAATGAATAAGTAATAGCAGCTAGTGAATAAGTACTAGTAGCTAACAAATAAGAACTTGTAGCTACTAGTAACTAATGAATAAGTACTAGTAGCTAATGAAAAAGTACTAGTAGCAAATGAATAAGTACTAGTAGCAAATGAATAAGTACTAGTAGCAAACGAATAAGTACTAGTAGCTAATAAATAAGTACTAGTAGTAAATGAATACGTACTAGTAACTAATGAGTAAGTACTAGTAGCAAATGAATAAGTAACTAAGGAATAAGCACTAGTAGCTAATGAATAAGAACTAGTAGCTAATGAATAAGAACTAGTAACTAATTAATAAGTACTAGCAGCAAATGAAAATGAACAAGTAACTAATGAATAAGTAATAGCAGCTAGTGAATAAGTACTAGCAGCTAACAAATAAGAACTAGTAGCTACTAGTAACTAATGAATAATTACTAGTAGCTAATGAATAAGTACTAGTAGCATTAAAATAGATCCTAGTATGTTTTAAGGATTAAATGTTAAGCCAGCTTGCCATATGTGCTGCTACTTTCACTCATCTTTTGAATCTCTGGTGCCTTGACAAGGTCCAAACTCTGAGCATTGGTCCCCACGGTAAAACACTAAATCACAATCACCTCCGTGTGAGTCTACAGCGCAGAGAGAGAACTAGAACTTGATCAGTATCACCTGATACGTGTGGCCTACAGGGAATTTCCTCTTAATCCTCACTGTGATTTTGAATGTTTACTGTATCTGCAGGTTTCTCAGGTCAAAGATATCAAATCCAAAAGAAAGAAAATGTCTTACGCCCCAGCACACTGTTGATGTCTTAATCTCTTGATGGCCTTTTCATTTGAGCATTTACAGATAGAATAATTGTGATGATCTTATGCAGAGTGGTGTTTTGAGAGCCGTTTTTTGCTTGTATTGTTTATTAAAATGCTGTGCTATGAATATGATATGCTGAAATGTTCCCTGCTGAGCAATCTTTGACTTTTTTTAGGAATCAGGTGCTGCAAACCAATCAGAAATATGCATATATCACATGACTGTATGACATTTTCTGTCTTCTGTTAATCTGAAAAATAGATGTCAATCTGCAATAAAGTTTACATTTTGTTACTGTTTGAGCTCATTTTTTGAACTCTTGCTTGCAGACTAAATCCCATGAAAATTGTAAAGATCAGGTCACAGTCTATCCCAAAAATCAAAAAGAAGAAAATAATAAGGTATAAAGAAAATTAAACCAATTTTAGGACCATTAAGATTTTGAGAAAAACAATTATCATTACTATAAATACAAGAAGGATGGATACTATACATTTGGGAAAGAAAGAAAGAAATACAGTAAACAATTAAATTGTATAGGCTGTAATGAAATTAACTCATTTGTAAGGGAATTAATTATTATTAATTCATTCAGGGTTTAAAAGGACTCGAATCTGAAAATTCTGAGTCAACCTGATTAAAGCTGAATTCAAATCTGATAGTTTACACTTTAAATCAAGGGTCGTCCAGCGAGCTGGTGATTCTTAGTATATTTTAACAATTTGAATATCTGTATTCTAAATTATATATTATTAATTTAGATTTATTAACCATCATGAAAATGTCACAATGCAAAATATAGCCCTAAAATAGGCTTCATTGCTGAATAAAATAATAATATAATAATTTCATAAATAATAATAATTTTATAATATTAAATGTAATAATAATAATAAATATATATAATACATTTAATAATAATTTCAAATAATAATAATTTCTTAATTTCTTATTTTGAGTTTGGGCTGAAGAGTAACTTAAATTTCAAACACTTTGCATAATACCTAGTTTACAATTTGCGTAATAGGCATACAGTATATGTAGTACTGCATGGAAAAACAAATATCTCAATCTAGAGATGTGAGCTGTTTGGCAGGGTGTTGGAATTCCCACCTTTGTCATTGTAGAAGTAGCCACCATCTAAGATCCTTCAATAAATTGTAAGTCTATATAGTTTTATTGCTTGTGTGCACAGAGATATGTAAGCGAGCGTCCGCACTCTCACAGTATCAGTGGCTCTGCTCACGATGAAAACCTGCACTAATTCCACTTAAACCCAATAAGTATTATTTATAGTAGCAGAAAGCATGCAAACGGAATCATATTGAAAACACATTCAGGGGCCCCACCTCACCTTACATTGGCACTATTCCTGTACATCCACACACACACACACACACACACACACACAACAGAAAAAAAGGTTATGCTTATTGATCCTTTTATTTATTTATTTAAATAGTATATATTTTTTGTTTATCATAGTATTGAATTATATTATGTCCTTAATTTTTCATTTAGAAAATAAAGATGGATATTGGCCTCATACACATGAAGAATGTATATATATATATATATATATATATATATACAGTGGTGTGAAAGTCATTGGCTTCCATCAGCTGTTTGGTTACCAACATATCAAAATACATTCTTTTGTGTTCTGAAGAAAGAAACCCACAAAGGGTTGGAACAACTTGAGGGTGAGTAGCTATGATGACAAATTTTTTGGGTGAACCAAAACCACCAGACAATAGTCTTCTGTTTATTTTAAGCGCACACTGCTGTTTTGTCGTTTGCCACTTTAAATGCTTGAGATCTTTAAGGATTATTCAAGAGTTTTTATTTTATTCTTAATCAGCAGAAAAAAAAAATAATTGTGAAAGTGATCCCAACCATATCATTCCTTTGTGCAGATATCGTAAACGTTGTGGAGTGGACTCTGCTATTCTTTTACAATTTTTAAAGATTTTTAAAACTGTCATTATTGTTATCGTCCTTGGTGTGAATGGTTCAAATGACTCCAGCTGTTTTTACATTAAAAATAAGGTTGATTTCACCTTTTTATCTTCAACTCATTCTCTTCATCATCATCTATTACTGTACCGAGTGTGCACTGTTTCACAGCTTCACCGCTTCACAAGGCACTATTTATTTCTTAATGTGTAAAACTATTTAAATGCAGCCGGGGTCTTGATGGGGGCCTTGGCAGACAAGAACGCAATCCCTGAAATGTAAGCTGCAGCGGAAATGGGTTAGTGAATCCACGTCTTCACTGGGAATACCACTGAGAAAACGTGTGCACTTCCTGTTGTGCCCTTCTGAGAAAGTTGTCACCTTGCAATGGTTTTAAGAGTCTGCCTGAGATATCCGAGGACCAACAGAATCCCTCCCTCCTGGGGTTGTACAACTGTAGATGTGGGACTACACCAGTAGGAACTGGCCTTTTGTAAAGCTCTTTTTATTTGAATGCTAGAGTTTATTGACAAATGAGAAGTGACCATCTTCACAGGAAATTTGACTGGGAATATTATGGAGGTCTATTACAGTAATAAAGTTTTTCCAAAGGTTAGTATACTTGTTTACCGAGTAAAAGGTCCTGCCAGAGCTGTCCTTGTTTTTGAAACTTATTATTGGATATTTGGTGTAATAGTCAAGACATCGGGACAATAACTTATTTCTTTATATAATACTAACTTAATCTATCACTGCATTATTTGTCACACCAAAGGACACTGGTGAAATTGGGCATTAGGAGAGCAGAGAGTGATTTGTGGGTTTGTATGTACAGTTGCCAAAGAGCTGAATGTAGGGCCCTATAGCAATTTAACAGAGTGAAAATAAATGAAGAGAAGAGAAGAGAAGAGAAGAGAAGAGAAGAGAAGAGAAGAGATTCACACCAACAAACCATCCACAGTAAAACCACAGACAACAATCAAATATGAACATAATACATGTTAAATAGACGCCCTCTACTGGAGAAACCAACGACGTGCATAATAAACTAACAGCTACAATAAAGAAATACTTTGTGTGTCACCACTCAGATCAAATTAGTTTTATCTATTAAATAGATTGATGTTGATATATATCAATAGATATTGAATTTCTTTTTTTCTTTCTTTTTTTAAAATCCTGACGAAATCAACAACAATTCATATTAACATAACATACATTTGTGTAATATGATATTTTAGGAAATATTTTGCTAACTTTTTTTTGTGTGTGTGTGAGACAGCTCAGGCCAGGGAGAGGCGGAGAGGTCTCCATTAATTAAAATACAGTCAGTGAAACTAATGATATCTATAAATGAGTTTAAGTTTAAGAAGTACTATGGCAGGCCAGCAACAGTGTGGTCACTAGGGGTGCTGTTGTTTGCAATTCTGTGAGGACATTTCCCGAGGGGCCATGATCTGTACAGGCTGAAATAGACTTATTGGTCCAAACCTTGCCTGACAAATGGTAAGAGCTTCATCACAAAAAAAATAATCATACAAATCAGAGACAAGGCGCTCTTTAAAAGATGGCCAGGAAATGTTCCTGTTTTTCTGACCTGAAGTCAGATCTTAGCTTAGAATGAAATGATCAAACAAAACAGGTGTAAAGTTTAGGGCTGGGGTTCTCAACTCTGGCCATCGAGATCCACTTTACTGAAGAGTTTAGAGCCAACTCTAATCAAACCCACCTGAACAAGCTAATTAAATTCTTCAGGATTACTAGAACATTACAGGCAGGTGGGTTTGAACAAGGTTGGAGCTAAACTCCTGCCACAGTTCTTGTTCGTGGCGCTGAATTTTTAATCACTGTACCTTTGTTTTAAGACAATTCCTCATAGTAAAGTATACTTCACAGATGTGTCATGTGAGTGTCATTAATTTTCAGGCTGTTATTTAAAGGGGTCATATGATGCGATTTCAATTTTTCCTTTCTCTTTGGAGTGTTACAAGCTCTTGGTGCATAAAGAAGATCTGTAAAGTTGCAAACACTAAAGTCTCAAAAGTGTATTTCGCCATCTAGTGGTGGCATAAGCTTAAGGCCTTATGCTGCGTTCAAGTCCTCCTGGGACTTTCGTCCTTACTAGTTGACAAGTCGTAATTACGACGTCAGGTGCGTTCAAGTCCGTTTAGTCGGCACAAGATGGCGGTGTACCATCTTTTAATAAATTGCAAGAAAATACAACAGGGTCCGTTAACTCTGCTTATAGAAAGTGAAGAGCAAAGAATTCGCATCAGGTGTGTTTTGCGTTTTTAATATTTTTTAAAAAGTAATTTATGAAGCCACTTAATCTGTAGCGCATAAAAACTTGTTATTAATTGTTATATTACAATCCTGCCACATTCAAAAAGCTTATTTTTTTTATTTACCGTCAACTACAGACGCAACGTAATGGATGGAACATCCATCGATTCCGCCATGTTTCTCATTGACACGCCCCCAACTCGGAAACTCGGGGCTTAAAGAAAATTTCGAGTTTCCCACTCTTAATAACGTCTTTGTGGTGGCGTTCATGTGCGTTCAACTAGTAACTACGATCTATCCGACATGACTTGAACGCACCATTAGTACAGGACTTTCTACTCCTGCTCCTGGAAGGCCACTGTCCTGCAGAGTTCAGCTCCAACACACATGCCTGGAAGTTTCTAGTAATCCTGAAGACCTTGATTAGCTGGTCCAGGTGTTTAATTAGGGTTGGAACTAAACTCTGCAGGACAGTGGCCCTCCAGGAGCAGGTTTGGACACCCCTGCTTAAGTATTTGTAATATTACTTGAATAGTGATATATTCATATGTATTTGCTTTATTTCATGACTATACTCCATAAACAGACCCCACAATGTGAAAAAACTAAATTTCAGTGAAACAATGTCAAAAAAAACCTTGACATATAGGGAAATAATATATACTTTCAGTGCCCATTTTCCATAATCAAATAAAATGTGACGCATACAGATCAGATCAGTCTTAAAAGTCAACTTTTATTGTGTTGAAATGTGTTTTGAATTATTACAGTAACAATGCCAAACAGTTCCTATATCACACCTTTGCTGCAAAAATGAGGTCTATTGAGGAAAATATGATACAAATATATTTGATACATTGCACAACACATCAAGTTAAGTGACACTTTCCCTTTAAATTGTATTCGTTTTCATTCATGTTTACAATAAAGAACAATTATTATTCATTGAGTCCTTAAGCACCCTTTCAGAAATGTTTGATGAGGAACCGGTAAATAAAAAGCTAACTTTTCTATCACTGAGAAACAACATATACAGAACTAAATCTTTTTAGCCCTTATACCTGTGAATGAATGATTTTTGGCTTAGTTGGTAGTGCACTCATGAACATACAGCTAAATTATTACATTATTTGGAGTGTTGTTTAAGTGATGGTGAATCTATTAAATAAATGAAAATAACTGTATATATGATAATGTTCACACTCTGCTGCAATTCTTTGACCATGCTTAAATACAAAAACACAAGTGAAAGAAAAATATGTACCATTGCCCTATATGTTTGTAATATTGGTCTTCCTTGTATAGCTTCCCCTGTACCCCTGTAACCTGCCACAGTGTTACTTCAGAAACAATTCAAGTCACAATAAAGTGAATAAATTAGTTGAGTCTAGGTCATGTCTGAGTCATGTTTCAAAAAGTGAAAGATCTGAATGTACAGCAGCACAAAACGCCAACAGGTTTTCCCGGATCTTCTGAAGAACATTTCTCGCCCATTCACATTCGTTCGAGATTAAGGCAACAGTGGATGAATACATCCCAGTACAACAACAACAAAAAAAAAACCTAAGTCATACAGTCTGATATAATTCCCAAATCACAAAGTATGTCTTCTCCTTTACACTCTAAACAATGCAATTTCATCAGATGCCCAGATACCATCCTCCGTCCTGTTTAAATGACCATTATTTGAACTTTAATTAAAACCAACAATTACTCTGTACATGCCTAAGGAGCATCAGCCCTCTGTTTAAAATATTTTAAAATTTTAGAGATTTCCTTTTGAGAAATGAGAAAACAAGAAGAGACAGATCACTTGTTGCTAGCTTTGTTGTCAAACTGGAAAAGATCCAACATATCAAGCATTGCCTGCCTAATGTTACTTCCAAAGCGGTGAGAGTCCTATAAATCACAAGAAAACGGGACCATTTTTATGTTACATATGTACAGAATTATTACAAATAAACAGAATTATTATATCATATTTTAAATTATTTTAACAATTTATATAATTAATATGAATATACAGCACCATTCAAAAGTTGCTAAGATTTTATAATGTTTCTGAAATAAGTCATTAAAAAGTCCATTTAAAGTAACTTCTCTGTTTTAATGTTTTAAATGTCTTTATAACGTCACTTTTGACCAATTTAATGAATCCTAGCTGAATTAATTGGATGCTGAATAATTTATTTCTTAAAAAAAAAACACCTTTCAAAAACTACTTTATATTTAATTATTAATTGTATAAAAATAATAACAACTATAATTATAATTATGTATATTTTATATTTTATTTTAGATGTAATAAAGTGAACCCACCGTCTCTGGGCTGGAGTGTTTGCTGGATATGTGGAAGTTGATGAGATCTTCTCCAAGAATAATATATGATACACCATAACCGTCATCAGCAACCTAAACAACACACATATTGGTCACATATTGGCAAAACAAAACAAAACAAAATAAAACAAAACAAAACAAAAAATCAAAACACTGTTTTCTTTATAAACCCTGAACACATATTATTAAACTATGTAAAAAAATAAATAAATAGCAGTCAAAAACAAAACCTAAAATTCTGGCTATATATATTCAAAAGTTTGGGTAAAGTAAGTAACAAAGAAATTAATAATTTTATTCAAAAATGATGCATTAAGTTGATATATAATAACAGTAAAGACATTTATAATGTTATAAATATTTCCTATCACAATTACCATAAAAATATGAAGCAGCACAACTGTTTTTAAAGGGGTCATATGATGCTTTTTTAAAGATCATTATTTTGTGTATTTGGTGTAACAGAATATGTTGACATGCTTTAATGTTCAAAAAACACATTATTTTTCAAATACTGTACATTATTGTAGGTCCTCTATGCCCCGCCTCTCTCAAACGCTTCGTTTTCTACAAAGCCCCCTCCTTTCATAGCAAAGTCAGAATTACCTCCTCTCCTAGGTTCACGAAACGGTCGTCCATAAAATGCATTGCTGTTCTGTTGTAAGTAATCTTAATGCATCTACTTTCGGAAGGCCAAATAAAGTGGTTTTGCTTTCGCCTAGAAACACACAGCGTCTCCTTGACATGGCTGCTTCAACATTAACTGCGGTTACTGAAACCACGCCTTCTTTCTTTGCTGAACATTTGGGCGGCTTTATGCTAATATTTCCACATAGTGAGGTAGATATGTGGGGGCGTGTTAGAACGAGCCATTTTAGGGGGGCGTGGCAGAGTCTTAACTTTGATAAAGAATATCTCTTTGGTTTTGAGACTTTAGTCTTTGCAACTTCAGGGATCTTATCTATGCACAATCAGCTTGTAACACTCCAAAGAGAAAGGAAAACTTGAAATCGCATCATATGACCCCTTTAACATATAATACGAAATGTTTCTTCAGCATCAAATCAGGATATTAGAATGATTTCTGAAGGATCATGTGACACGGAAGACTGGAGTAATGATGCTGAAAATTCAGCTTTGCATCACAGAAATAAATTACATTTTAACATATGTTCAAATAGAAAACAGTTACTTTAGATTGTAATAATATTTCAAAATATTACTGTTTTTACTGCATTCTTGATCCAATAAATGCAGCCTTGGTGAGAATAAGAGACATCTTTCAAAAACATTCAATTAATCTTGCCACCCAAAACTTTTACAATACTGTAAACCAAGAGTTGAGTTTTCACTGAATCATGTCTAGGTAGGACAGAGTGTTAGAAACAAAATGTTGAACTTACAGGTCCAAATCCACCTCCGCTGGTGACGTATTCTGGATGCCTCTTTATATCAAACAGATCGACCTGTTGGAGAGGAGTCTGACTGGTGGACAATCTCCAGGGCTCGGACAACACCTACAACAAACCCAACGTATCACTATCAAATGTGATGAGTCTATGAAATGGATTGCATTTTAGCATGTGGCGTATCTCACACCTCTTTGAGAAAAGCCGAATCTTCACCGAGGTATTTTGACACCAGGTAGAGGCAGAAAAGATGGCGGTCGATGCCCTTTCCTGTCATGGCCAGTCTGTATAAGTCCTGATGCTTTTCTGCCGCCACTTTCAACAGCTTCAACTTCTCTTCTCTCTGAGGAAAAAAACAAAAAATTAGCAGGAATTAGCAGGAATTAGCAAACACACTTGCTGAAACTAGCTGGCCATTAAAGTCAATCCCACCGTTGCTTTGTCATTCATCATGGCACGGACAAAATCACAGGTTTGAGTGGTGCAGGAGCGCACAGTCTCAGTGCGGCCCTCTCTGAACAGACGAGTCATGGAGGCTTCGTACGTCAGGCAGAACTTGCCTTTATCCTACAGGAGGACAATGTGTACATATTACACAGAAGCCTGAGGAAAAACCCAAAGAATCGCTGAAGAATCGCTCGTACCCTGAAGTGCGCCAGCTGGAGGGCGATCTGAATGAAGCCGTCGGGACTTGTCTTGCATTTCTTGATCAGGCCTTTGCCAAAGTCGTTGAAGGGGATGATGTGCATGTCAACATCGTCCGCCAGAGCTTTAGCCACTTTCAGAGAACTGTTGATCACTGCCTGGCCCTGTGAAGGAACAAGGCCGCTCCTTGTTAAATTATATAGTGGATGAAAGTACAGCATGTTTAAAATGCACAGTAAACATTTGAACTGACCTCCTCTGGGATGTCCCACTGCAGTCTCTGGGGTCCCGGCAGGTTTGGATGGGGGTTTCCTTTGCAGTGTCCATCCTCAGTATAGCCCAGTCTCACTGGATCTGATGACAAGACATGCTGCCATAATACAAACAAAAACATTTTAAATATCACATGACATATACTACCTTTTTTGCAAGAATTTAGTACTTTTATTCAGCAGGGATGCATTAAACTGATCAAAAGTGACAGTAAAGACATTTATAATTGTACAAAAAAACTATTTCAAATAAATGCTGAAGAATCATGAAATCATGAAGGAATGTATCATGGTTATCATATTAAGCAGCACAACTGTTTTCAACACTGATAATAATATTAGATATTTCTTGAGCAGCAAATCAGCATATTAGAATGATTTCTGAAGGATCATGTGATACTGAACACGAATGTAATGATGCTGAAAATTCAGCTTTGCATCAAAGGAATAAATTACATTTTAAAATATATTCAAATAGACAACAGCTATTTAAAATAGTAAAAAAATATTTCACAATATTACTGTTTTTACTGAGCCTTTCTAAAATCTTAAAATATCTTACTGAGCCCAAACTTTTGAATGGTAGTGTAGATGTTTAAAATGTTTGAACACCATAAATTTGTCTGATTTTCACACAAAGCTATAATATGACATGAGAAGGCTTGAAATATATAGCGCAAGAGTCATATTGACCACTTTTACGGTGCTTTTTTTATTTTTGGAGCTTGACAGTCTTAATTGTCATACACTTTCATTGTATGAACAACAGCAACCAGGATATTCTGCTGAATATCTCATTTTGTGTTGCTCACAGGAAAGAACAGGGTCATACAGGGTTTGTAACAACATGAAGGTGAGTAAATCCGATGATCCCTTTAAAGGAATAGTTCACCCAAAATGAACATTGTGTGTCATCAATTCCTCACCCTCATGTTGTTCCAAACCTGTATGACTTTCTTTCAACTGTTGAACACAAAAGATGATTTTTTTTGTAGAATGTTGGTAACGAACAGCTGACGGTAGCCAGTATTTTTTTTTTCCCATACTATGGAAGTCAATGTTTACCATCAACTGTTTGGTTACGAACATTTTTCAACATTAGAAGAAAGAAGAAAGAAACTCACACAGGTTTGGAACAACAGGAGAGCGAGGAATTGATGACACAATGCTAATTTTTTGGGTGAACTATACTTTTAAGGTTGTATAAGAAGTTTAGGGTGCCCCCTATAGGCAGCACACCAAGAGTTCATATTACTGTTCTGAGGCTAATTTGTATACTTACACCAATCGAAAAACAAACATGAATTTGTGCAATAAGTGACTCAAATATTTGCATTGCACTTATATAAAAATGTGATTTTGTCAAATATGAATTTTCTTTCTTGCCAAAACAGCTCATGTATATCAATATCTTAATGAATTAATTTACAGTATTCACCTCCCACAAATGGCCAACGATGGGCGCATCGGCCCAGGAGTGTTCTGCATTCAATCCCATAGTGCCGTTCTTGAACACAATCAGATTGAAAGACTTGTCAAACCACCTGGAGACAAAAAACACACACACGATAAAGTGAAAAAAAACTTAAAACATATACTACCGTTCAAAACTTTGGGGTCTGTAAGATTTTTTTTTTTTTAATAAGTCTCATATGCTCTTATCTGCCTTTCAATCACAAAACCTCCTGGACCGCAACCAGTCTGGCTTCAGAAGTGGACATTCAACCGAGACTGCCCTGCTCTTGGTTGTTGAAGCCCTAAGACTGGCAAGAGCGGCTTCCAAATCTTCAATACTTATCTTGCTGGATCTGTTCTCTGATTTTGACACGGTTAACCACCAGATCCTCCTGTCAACCCTATTGGCAAAGGGCATCTCAGGAACCGCACTCCAGTGGTTTGAGTCTTACCTCTCAGATAGGTCCTTCAAGGTATCTTGGAGAGGTGAGGTGTCCAAGTCGCGACATCTAACTACTGGGGTGCCTCAGGGCTCAGTTCTTGGACCACTTCTCTTCTCTGTCTACATGGCATCATTAGGTTCTGTCATTCAGAAACATGGCTTTTCATACCACTGCTATGCTGATGATACTCAACTCTACCTCTCATTCCATCCTGAAGATCCGACGAAAGCTGCTCGCATCTCAGCATGTCTAACAGATATTTCTTGCTGGATGAAGGACCATCACCTTCCACTCAACCTGACCAAGACAGAACTGCTTGTGGTTTCAACAAACCCATCACTTCATCACAATTTCACCATCCAGCCAGGCACATCAACCATAACTCCTTCAAACACAGCCAGAAACCTTGGAGTTGTGATTGATGATCAGCTGACTTTCTCAGACCACATTGCTAAAACTGCCCGGTCCTGCAGATTTGCTTTATACAACATTAGGAAGATCAGGTCCTTTCTTTCTGAACATGCTACACAACTCCTTGTTCAAGCTCTTGTTTTTTCTCAGACTGGACTATTGCAATGCTCTCTTGGCAGGTCTTCCAGCCAGTTCTATCAAACCTATACAACTAATCCAGAATGCGGCTGCAAGATTAATCTTTAATGAGCCGAAAAGAGCACATGCCACACCTCTGTTCATCAATTTGCACTGGCTACCAATAGCTGCTCGCATAAAATTCAAGGCATTGATGTTTGCCTACAAAACTACCACTGGCTCTGCACCCCTTTACCAATATTCACTACTTCATACTTATGTGCCCTCTAGAAGCTTGCGTTCTGCAAGTGAACGGCGCATGATAGTGCCATCCCAAAGAGGCACAAAATCACTTTCATGGACTTTATCTTAACTGTTCCCTGCTGGTGGAATGACCCAAAATCACTTTCATGGACTTTTATCTTAACTGTTCCCTGCTGGTGGAATGACCTGCCCGACTCAAGTCTTTAGCCATCTTCAAGAAACGGCTAAAGATACATCTCTTCTATCTACACTTGACCCTCTAACACTTGAACTCTCTATTCTATTTCTATTCTTACTAGTTTTTTTTTGTTTTTTTTAAAGAGCCTCTAACACTAGCATTCTCTATTCCTTTTCTATTATATCTTCTTGTTTTCTTTTTATTTATTATAAAAATGACCCTCTAACACTAGCATTCTCTGTTCTTTTTCTATTCTTTTGACTTGTTTTATTTTATTACTCAAAAAAAAGAAGAAAAAAGAAAGACCCTCTAACACTAGCATTCCCTATTCTTTTTCTATTCTATCTCCTTGTTACGTGCATTGCATTAGGCTAACCGAGACTTGTCACAGCACTTACATATTATTGCCCTTTTGTTGGTTTTGATTGCTTCTATTGTCCTCATTTGTAAGTCATTTGGATTAAAGAGTCTGCTAAATGACTAAATGTAAATGTAATGTAATGTTCAGCAAGGCTAAATTTCTTTGATCAAAAATACAGTTAAAACAGTAATATTGTGGGATATTATTACAATTTAACTGTTTTCTATTGTAATATTATGTTAAAATATAATTTATTCCTGTGATGCAACACTGAATTTTCAGCATCATTACTCTAGTCTTCAGTGTCATTTCTTAGAAACATTTCTTATTATTATCAATGTTGAAAGCAGTTTTTGCTGCTTAATATTTTTACAAAAATGTGATACATTTTTTTTCAGGATTCTTTCATAAATAGAAAGTTCCAAAGAACAGCATTTATTTGAAATTTTGTAACAATGCAATCAATTGAGTCCTTGCTAAATAAATTAATATTTTTAAATAATCTATTAGTATTAATTCATTTAAAGAAATCTTACTGACCCCAAACTTTTGAACAGAACATTAAATGAACAGAAATATATTATGGTTCACGATAAGTGATTTTATAACCCAATTTAATTATAAACAAGCGAGATCGTAGTCACCTGTCATAGCATTTTCCATGGAGCAGAGATTTGCCATAGCTGTCCAGGGACTGCACCGAATTCTCTGGATCGTAACGCTGTTCGGTGTCATCCAGAGTAACAAAGAAAGCCGCTTTCTCCACAGAATCCAGAGACTGCTTGTTCTTCCCACGACTGAAGAACTGTGAGCGGGCTTTGGCCCAGGGATCTCTGGGTAATGGGGAACAAAAGCAGAGATAAAATCACTTGGCTCTTTGCGTGTTCTTTAATGGGCTTTGATCACATTTAAGTGAACAGAAAGAGAAAAAACAGCATCTGGTTCATGAATGAAAGCTGAAATTTATAGCTTTATTTGCATAACGCCGCCCAAATGTTCACGCAAAGAAAGAAGGCGGAACTTTTATTCTCGCTGTAGTATTATATTATTATATATATTATATATTAAAAATACAATATAATTTTGTATTGTCATTTACCAAATATTTGTAAAATTAAATTAACAATTAAATTAATAAAAAAAAGTAAAAGTAATAATAATAAAACAAATTATTAAAAATAAAATACAAATAATAAAAATGAGCAGTCACCTGTCGCCCGCTGTCAAAGCGGCAAGCAGCTCCTCTCCTGGATGAGGTTCGGATTTGTCCGCCAAGATCCTTTCAATCTGCTGCTCAATTTCTCGAGGCAACAGCAGTCGTCCGTCATAAAACAGCCACACCTTGAAAAAGCGTCCCTTGTGATACACAGCGATGTGTTTGCTCTCGTTCATGTGCTGAAGGACGTCTGATGAAGAATACGGACGAGAGGATGGAGGTGTATCAATGTGCATGAAAACAAAGTAACATTATTCTGTAGTTCATCCAATAATTATTTGTGCAGTTTAAATGAGGTCAAATGTGTTATTTTTTGGCTGTTTTTGTCAAGGGTTAAATGATTAATGGTGGTCAGTAGACAATGATGAGAAAAGCAAAAGGTGAGGTAAAAAAAAGGCAAAGTAGATGAGAAGAAAGACCAAACAAAGGCTTGCTATAGCCCCCCTAAAATGACTACTCAGCCCATCTAAAATTTTGCGATTAGCTCCATAAACTACACAAATTCGTGATCGCCTCAGTCCCCTTAAAATTTCATCTGAAAATGGCGGCAGACACCGATCGGCTCCTCCACGTCTTTCAGCGCGTTCTTTTTCAATCTGCAGACCGCGGCGGCGCAGAGCGACAAACAGAGGACAAGGGGTGTGTTTATCGATAGATTGTTATAATATCTGCATCTGTGCAGTTCTTTGTCATAAATCCAGTTTACAAAATATCACGGGGGAGCAATAATCGGTTCCCCATCTACTGTAGCATAAGTTTTCACTGGGTTCACCCCTCATCACACCACAGCTGTTTCCTGAAAATGAAGCACATATGAACGCATACTTTATAAAACGATGTTGCCATTTTCATTTGAAAATATAACTTTCAATATAATACACATTCCAGTGCTTGTGGCAAATAGGTTTGCATACTTGAACTAAGGAAAGAGGGATGTACTAGAAATGCAAACAGTAAAATGGTGTGTTTGTACAGTAAACAGGTGTGTGTGTGAGATCATGAAGACTTGAATGTGGCTTATTCAGTACTCAAATGTTATACCTATCTATGCAATACAGTGGAATACTGCAATAAGTTTATTATATGACCCCTATTAATCAAATTTTTTTAAATTTATTTATATATATATTTTTATTATTATTAGGCTATTATTATTATACCCTCACCGGGGACTGAGCCCCCCTAAAATGAAAATCCTAGAATCGCCCCTGTATGTTACTATATAATAATAACTGTTATTATTATTACTATTATTCATTAAGTGCATTGATTATATATTATTACCGTAATTATTATTATTGATTAGTATAGTACTTTGTATTTTCTGTTTTTAACAATTCTAATCATCATAATCTTTAATAGACAATTATTATTATTATTATTATTATTGCTGATTAAGTGTTTTGATCATATTTTATTGATTATTATATGTATTTTATTGTTTTGTTTTTCTCGATTAATAGTATACATGCACTTTAAATTCTAGTTAAAAATTAATCAACATCATCATAATTTCTAGAATTATCATTATTATTATTATGCTTTTTTGCATTAATAGAATGTCTGCACTCTAAAGTTGTTATTATTATTATTATTATTATTAATTCGATTAGTTCTAGTACAAAATTATATAATAATAAGTATTTATTATTATTATTATTTTATTGGTTTTGGTTTTCTGCATTAATAGTATACATGCACTCTAAATTAGTTAAGCTATTTATCAATATAATATATAATAAAATATAATTTTTTATCAATATTTTAATTCAGTAATCATTTATTTTACTATAATTTAGTAAGAATTAGAAACTAAATACCACATATTTCCACTTTGCTGTGATAGCCCATTATTATTATTAATACATTATCATATCACATACATTTTCTAAATAGTAATCCTGTAGATTCAGTCATTAAGTAAAGTATATGTATTAGTTACTAAACTGGAATTAATTCAGCGTTTAAAACCTCTTGAATTTATTACAGTATGTTATAAGTTAGTAGCAATAAAAATAACAGACATCTTTGAATGGCACCACTATATACGGCCAGACGGGTGTAAAAACATGTTATTTCCTGTTCCTCATTCATCTGTTTCAGATAACAGGTTAATCATTAAATCACACAAATAGGTTATCAAGTTATGAAACAGTTAAGCACAAGTTAAGCACACAAAACTAAGTCCTCGCCATCTGCTTCCTCCAGAAACGTCAGCTATATAGAGCGCAAATCCAAATCACAAACCCTCATGCATTTTAGGCCCACAGCAATCACTAGCTTGTGAAATGAAGACGCGTGAAGCTCTACCTGTTTCTACACCGGGAACTCGACTGGTGTTGAACATACGCTCGTACTGAGATGAGCACATGGGGATAGTGTTCAAAACCATGAGCTGTGAAGCAGAACGGAAGGTCAAACACTAACAGGAAAAACAAGGAAGAAACCCAAAATACCACTATAGAAACCTGTAGAGCAGGGATGGGCAACTTTGATAGTGACGAGGGCCAGCATTTTTTCTCCTTTATACCAAGGGGCCAGATTACTAATCCACGTCCACACACCTTTTACACCGTCTTACTCAAATTCTTTTTTATTGAAGGAAATTAAAGTATAACTAATGTCATTTGTTTTTAAAGATTTTATTAAGTATAAAACTTGTGCAGTTATGCTAATTCAGAAGGAAAACTTTGTTGTCAGTGGACAGAAATATTACCAATGTAATGTAAGCCAATGTAAACATTTCAATTGCATTGTCTGTAAATTTGCAACAAACAAATATACAGAGGTCCTTTTTTTATTAGTAGCCTACAGAACATTCTCAAAACAACCTAAAAGGACGGTTAAAAAGGGCTTAATTAAAAAAAAAAAAAAAGTTATTCCAAATGGTAGCATAAAATAACCTGGTATCTGCAGGATTTTTTCTAATCAAATTTAAGACCTTTAAAGACCTTTTTAAGATCTGCACTTCACATTTCAGCCTTTAAACCATTTTTAAGAAAAGGGATGAGTCAAAAGTATCAATTATTATAATAATTTAAACAATTATTATCAATTAATTATTATATTACATAATATATAGTGTAGTCTTAGTGTCTTAATTGTTTAGATTTTTATAATGCATTAGCTTTTTGTCGATCCACTGGTTCACATTTAAAAATATGTAGCAAAAATAGCAGATGGGCTTATTGAAAAAGCAAATTCGTTCTCTGCCAGCAGGTGTCACTTTCGGAACTGCAGAAATATAGTGGTTTCCTCGGTAACCGCAGTACACAAAGCTAAAGTGCAGCGCTCAAGTTTATTCAGCGAAATCGTAGCCTTTTGAAGTTTAATCGTCATATTAATCCATATAGCAATTCTTGTCTTTCCGTCCCCAAAGACCTCTTAGAATTAAGACTTTTTGTATTATTTAAGAGTTTGCATGGCCTTAAATGTAAACAGTTTAACTGAAGATGTTTTAAGGACCCGCGGAAACCCTAATAAGAACATAGTCCAGTGCGGGCCGTACTAAAAGACACTGCGGGCCGTATATTGCCCATCCCTGCTGTAGAGGGAAACTGGAAACAAAAAAGAAAAAGTGGAAGGAGTGAAGGATCATCAGGAGAGATGAATTCAACACGGTGACCAGCCGCCGGATAACAGCACAGCTGCCAAATGACTAAACAGCCTACATTAATATCTTCTAAAACCAACAGAAAACTGCTGACCGATACAACAGTCAGGCAGATACAATATATGATATTTTTGATATTTGATTATTTGATAGTGGTCGTCTGATGTGCATTTTCCAATGTTTCAGACAAATTCAATCGTAGAGTGTAGGGTGACTGATGAACAATAGAGAGAGAAAAAATACAGCTCAATTTAAAGATTTCAAATGAAACATTGAAAAAATGACAGAAATATAGGCAACAGTTATTTTACAAAATACAAATTATTTTATATTATATTAAGCTAGTCATCTTCAAATATATTGCCTGAATTATTTTACAAAGAAATATATCCAATATATAGAAAAAAAATTAATATTCATAAATAAAATAATAAATAATAATTATAAATTATTACTTATCATATGATCAAAATAATGTAATATGATAAAAACTATATAGAAATAAACTGTGCCAAAATCCAAATAAAGAAAACCATACAGGTTGTAAATGGCATGAGGGTGATTAAAATAATAATAATAATAATCACATACATACATAAATACATTTATATATGAATTATATGAAATTATACAATTATATAAAAATGTATTATGTGGTTAATATCAAACAAGTCCACAGTTAAAAGTGATTCAAATGTATTATGTGATTACTAATTATGTGAAATAATATATAATAAAAATATTTATACAAAATAAAATATATTATAAATAATATACATAACAAATAATAATCATCATATTAATAATATAAAAATTTATTAATATTATGATGATCATTATAATGAATTATCATGTCTTTCATAATAACTATTTACCTATTTCTCTAACTGGCCAATATATTGGTGTATCACTATTATTGGTATTATTAAAGAGAGAGAGAGAGAGAGAGAGAGAGAGAGAGATTATATTAATTATATTATTTAAAATTATACATAAATTCTATGAAATCATACAATTAAATACTTTTATTATATATATAATAAAATATTATTATGTGATTAATATAATAACAAATTACAAAATAGTAATAATAATAATAATTAATAATAATAACATAATAAATAATTAATACATTTTATAATAATACATAATTAATTATCATGATTTTTTTTTCAACTATTTACCTATTTCTATAATTTTGGCTAATATATTGATGTATCACTATTATAGATATTGGTTAACAACCATGACCGAGATCTGTCTAAGAGAGATTTGGTCTCAGCTGCTATCATTAAATTGCATCACCGTCCACCGTGCTCTCTAGAAATCAGCCAGTAAAAAGCCCTCATCAGTCGACCACTGTAAGTCAATAAGCTCTACTGCTCTCCTGTCTGCTGTGCTGTTGTCCTGAGGCTGAGGCGGCTGCTGCTGGAGCTGATGAAGGGGTGCGGGTCGGGACGGACAAGTCCCTCCTCTTACCTGTCTCCAGCCCGGGAATGCGGGACGTGTTAAACATCCGCTCCCACTGCGCCGAGCACAGCGGCACTCGGTTCTCCAGCAAGTATAACTGTGCATGTGGTGAGTGAGCGCACATAGCAAACGCAGACGCAGGGTTAAAGAGAGACAAAGAGAGACATGGTATGACACGACAAACATCCTTTTTCAACATGTGTCTGCTGATTTGGTCATTATACAGTACAAATAAAAAAAAAATCTAACAAAAAACATACACAAACATGCACTAAAACACATTAGATATGACATAGAAGAGACCTGAACACACACACACAAACTATTCAAAAGTTTGGGATCAGTAAGATACTGTATATATTTTTTTCCTATTTTTGGTCTCTTCACCTCTCGTTTTAAGTCTCTTATGCTCACCAAGGCTGCATTTATTTGATCAAAAATATAGTAAAAACAGGAATAAAATAACTGTTTTCTATTGTAATATATGGTAAAATGTAATTTATTCCTGTGATGCGCAGCTGAATTTTCAGCATCATTACTCCAGTCTTCAGTGTCACATGATCCTTCAGAAATAACTCTAATATCCTGATTTGCTGCTCAAGAAACATTTGTTATCAGTATCAATGTTGAAAACAGTTGTGCTGCTGCTTCAGACTTTTTTGTGTAAACTGTGACACTTTTTTTAGGATTCTGATGAATTCAAAGTAAAAGAAAAACAGCAATTATTTGAAATAAAAATCTTTTGTAACATTATAAATGTCTTTACTGTCACTTTTGATCAATTTAATGCAGCCTTGCTGAATAAAAAATATTAATTATTTAGAAACAAAATTACTGACTCCAAAACATTTGAATGGTAGTGTATGTTTTTACATAAATATAATGTATTATATATTTTATAATATATCATTTGTTATATAAGTAAACATTACTACATGGTCATATAATTTACACATTTTGTATAAAATGTATCTGTAAATAAAAGCTAGAATCTAAACAACTACCACATGCCTCTTCATTTGCTTCTATGAAGTGAAATACTATGTGATAATAAAAGTTAATGTTTCATCTGAAGTTCTGAGTAGTAGTTCACCACCACTGACCCATACATGACCCTGACCTATGAAAAAATAATAATTACACTTAAGAGAATAGTTCACCCAAAAGTAAATTTCATTACCATTTACTCACATTTGTGTCATTTTCTAATGATCCTGAAGACATTGATTAGCATGCTCAGGTGTGTTTGATAAGGGTTAGAGCTAAACTCTGCAGGAAAGTGGATCTCGTGGGCCAGATTTGAGGATCCCTGCTCTATGACATTATCTTGTGTAACACACAAGGAGATATTTTGCATGATGCTGCACATATAGAAGTAATTTCATTTAACGTCAATCACACCAGTGTGAATAAGATTTGAAAGTTTTTTGGTCTCACAGGAAGCTATCATATTATTGCGTTATATTGGCTATAACTATAGGTTTTTGTTGTTGTTTTAGAATCTTGAAACAAATCCATTATTCTTGTATAGAATGAAGGTAAAAAAAATATTGCATTCAATTTAGGCAATATTGATGAATGTTTGTGTTACAGACTCTACTGAGTAAACTAGACTCACTGGTTTAATCTGCGCTCTGTCCAGTTTTCTTCTGTACATCATGATGGCGTGGATGGAATTACCAGCACGGGCAGCTTGACGTGTAGTGGGGATCACATAGAGGAAGTCCTGATAAACACAGAGAAAGTGACTCTCCTGAGATGTTGCCATTGAACAGTGCTATGAACTTATTATATGAACAACCTGGAGTTAAATGAGTTAAAGCAACTTTCCAAAAACTGCTACCATAACCCAGTTGGTAGATTTCTAACAATAGTTTGTGCTAGATTTATAAAAATTGTTTGCTCTACAAGCAAAACTTAATGTAAATTTGTTCATTTCTTCACTACAAAAACTAGTGCTGTGACCTGGATGGTAGATTTATAAAAATAGTTTGTGCTACAAGCAAAACTTAATATGAATTTGTTAATTTCTACACTACAGAAATTGGTGCCATGACCCGGATGTTAGATTTATAAAAATAGTTTGTGCTACAAGCAAAACTTAATATGAATTTATTAATTTCTACAACACAAAAATTGGTGCCATGACCTGGATGGTAGATTTATAAAAAATAGTTTGTGCTACAAGCAAAACTTAATATGAATTTGTTAATTTCTACACCACAAAAATTGGTGCCATGACCCGTATGTTAGATTTATAAAAATAGTTTGTGCTACAAGCAAAACTTACTATCAATTTGTTAATTTCTACACCACACAAATTGGTGTTGTGATCCAGATGGTAAATTTGTGCTACAAGCAAAACTGAATGTAAATTTGTTCATTTCTACAACACAAAAATTGGTGCCGTGACCCGGATGCTAGATTTATAAAAAATAGTTTGTGCTACAAGTAAAACTTAATGTAAATTTGTTAATTTCTACACCACACAAATTGGTGTCATGACCAAGGTGAAAGTTTATAAAAAAATATTTGAGCAAAGCCTAATGTAAATTAGTTAATTTCATATTTTGATGGATTACTTTTTAAATTTCACCATCTTAAATTTTTTTTTCTTGAAAATTTGACTTTCTTTTTAACAAAATCCAGATTAGCCATTGCATATCAGTCTTGCCATTGCATAGTAGTTGCTGTTGACCATGATTGGTCCTCGACCTCTGAGGTAAATATACTCCTCCCACCAGTCGCTGACCTAAGAGGATGATAGCAGAACAAAGTTAAATATCCATAATCCAAGGTATGACACAAATCTCAAATAAAAGTAACTTAAGGTTCATTATTTAAGAAGCTTCATGCTATTTTGAAAGAAAGACAAACTTGAAAAAGGTTCTGAGGCATTTTTATGATGAGATATGATAAGACTGCACATTATTTAAAAAAAATCCCTCAGGAAAAGTTGTTGAAAGTGATTTTGAATAGTAGAGAAAAGAGCGAACTTACATAATTGGAGGCCCACCAGGATTTGAGCTTCAGGTACCATTGCAGTTTGGGGCCCAAGTTCTTCTCAAAGTCCTTTGCCAACCCCTCCATACGCTTGTACTGTTCATCGTCCATCAGAGGGCGAGCTGACTCAAGATACTTGAAAAAAATAAAAAATAAAAAAATAAATAAATATATATATATATATATATATATAGATGTGAAGTGAGCGTAATTAAAAAAAAGGAAGTGCATTGAAAATTCAGTCATATTTGTCCTATTAATACATTTGATAATTTTAAAAAGCAATGAAAATGCTTGACTTACTCTTCTAACAGTGTCTTTTATAGGAGGCACTGGTAACCGTGGTATTGAATTCTGGAAGCTGTACAGCATTGGCTTTGGCCCCGAACATACCTTCACCAATACCTGTGTGGACAGTGTTAATATTGGGTCAAGAGTCAAACATGAGACAAGCATGAATCTTCCAATTATACAACCAGACAAGTTCTAGTGAACAGCTGTATATCAAAAACTGGCACAATGACGTAGAGATAACTTCAAAAGAAACATGCAATTACCAGAACAGTGCTGAAATTGTGTTATAAAACAAACTTATTAGACTTTGGACTCTCTCTGAATATGATGTAGGAAAATATTTACAGCACTGGGAGTGTTTAAAGTGCACCTAAAAGGGACTATATGGACTATAAAAATCCAATAGTTGCATAATATGGCATAATGTTTGGGTGAATTATTACTTTAAGTGATCAATTCCCCATCAGGGCCACACTCACCAACCAAATCTTTGTTGTTAAGGACAAAGATCCATGGCGATTGAACATCCAGCCGTGCCAGGACAGCAAGTACTTGAGGACGTTCCTCATAACGAAAGTCACAGCAATCCACAATCCGGTCCCAATCAGCACACCACCAACAATACGCTGCCCTTCTTCTGTTACGTACTTACTGCAGGGAAACACAGCTATTAGGTGAGAAATTAACTGCAGTGCACTTTCAAAAACACTGTAGTTATTAGTTTGTAATAACTTGAACTAAAATAGTTCAAATAGTCTAAGAATCTTAATTTTTAATGACAGACATGGTAAATATAGTAAATATATTTTATAAAAAATAATACTTCAAATATTAATGTTTAATAATTTACTAATTGTTTTTTAATTATTAAAATGATAAAATATTAAATCATCATAAATCATAATGATTTGTTATTATCAGCACTGTAGTTACACTGTAAGTATTATACATGGTTCATACATGCGTTAAAGGGGTCCTATTATGCTTTTTCACTTTTTCAACTTTAGTTAGTCTGTAATGTTGCTGTTTGAGCATAAAAAAGATCTGCAAAGTTACAAAGCTCAAAGTCCACTTCAAAAGGAGATATTTTATAAAACAGAAACTTTTCAAAAACTACAACGAACGACTCGTTTGGACTACAACGCACATTTTCCGGGATTTGTGATATCACAAAGATCGACGAATGGGACGAGACCTGGAATGAGCCTATTTTCAAAAACAGTGGAGTGTTCCTTTAACATCTTATGAAATGAAAAGCTACGTGTTTGTAAGAAATAAATCCTTCATTACCTTCAAACCAGTGCTTCTAGCAAAAATATATTATAAATACGAAATGTACCATACTATTGCTTTCTCCATTGAAAAAGTTGTCTCGTCTGAATCAGGAGAGAAATATGTTACAGGTGAATCAGTCTAAAACAGATCTAAACAAATATGTCAGCAGATTTTGATGTGAGAGGACAGCAGGAGATGGACTTTTTGTGTTTTAACTTTCATAATTAGGAGTCCATAATCCAAAATAATGCTTCCGCCAGAAAAAAAGTCCATCTCCTGTCGTCTCTCACATATTTGGTTAGCACTGTAAATGGAATGGACTCATATTGAATACTTGTGGATTATTGTGATGTTTTTATCAGCTGGACTCTCATTCTGACAGCACCCATTCACTGCAGAGAATCTACTGGTGAGCAAGAGATGAAATGGTACATTTCTCCAAATCTGCTCCCATGAAGAAACAAACAAAGGGAGGGGGCTGGGGGGCCAGTGCCCCTTTAATTACCAACGCTAAAGTGCCCTTTTGGTCTGATCTAGGTGCCCCTGGACCGCAATTTCTACAGAGGGGTAGCACATTTTCTGCAAATATTCATTTTTGGATGAACTATTCCTTTAAAAAAAAATACATGAACAAACATCGTATTATATAACACAAAGCCACTTAATGTGAATTTCAAAATATGTTGTTGTAATAAAACATTAGCAGTAATCTAATCGCATTTGTTCTGCCGTTCACTGTGACCTCAAGCATTTAACTGCATGACATAACAGAGTGCATTACAGAATGTGCTTTATTCACGACCTCTGTGACTCTTTCACATGCGCTTGTATTGTAAACATCGCTCTGATGTAAATAAATAAAGCTGCATGGATGTTGTCACAATGATATCTTACTTTTTGGAGCAATCATAACATGATCGTTTAAACAATGCAGTATATTTAATATAACAGGTCTGAGATAATTGAAATAGAATAGAAAGTGTGTATTTAGGGTTTATGTCCTTGTCACATTTTCAAAACAAAGGCGTGTTGACCTCTCTTACTGTATGTTAATAGACGATAAACTGGTTTGTACAAGAAACAGGCAGACCAAACTCTTCCCTGAACCAGCTAGACAACTTCATTCAGTCGCTCAATTAGATGAACAATGGTTAATCTACAAACCACTGATTTACTACAAACACAACCATACTATTATACCCTTGTGAAAAAGAACTCTGCTTAATTGTATTGAATGTGCACTTGTAGTGTACTTAGAATCTATAAATATTATATCGATTATAATATTATACTTATAATATATATTATAATAGATTATATATTAGACTTTATATATATACTTACAGATCATATAATGTGTATGAAATTAAATAAAAGGCCACTAAGTGTACTTGAAGAGTCCACTTTCTTGACTATGTTTCTTTATGCACTTAAGTGCACTTTTAAAAAGTGCATTTTGCAATCATGTCAAATCAAAAGTTTTAAAGTACATTTTAAATCATTATTTTTAATCATCTTTTATCATGCTCTAAAGAAGTACACTTATATTGATGTGTTGACTAACATACTAAAGTACACATAAAGTACAGAACTATAGCTTTAACTAATTAGTAATATTACATTTAAAGATAAAATATTTGAAATGACTAAATTATAACATCATTACAAACGTGTGATTACAAAAATATTTTAATACATGACAGAAGATTCAATAGAAATTACTTTAAAATATATTTTAGTGCAAATAAGGACATTCAGCAGCACATTTGAACCATATTTCAACGACAATAGAAGTAATTATAAAATTACTGTACATATGTGTAAGTGACGTGACATGACGTGAAGTGTGGCCAAGCATGGTGTCCCATACTCAGAATTTGTTCTCTGCATTTCACACATCTAAGTACACACACACAGCAGTGAGTAGTGAACACACACACACACACCCAGAGCAGTGGGCAGCCATTTTTGCTGCGGCACCCAGGGAGCAGTTGGGGGTTCTGTAGTCTCGCGTAGCCAGACCTTCAGACTGACGGGTGAAGGTTTGGAATCCATGGCAGCTTTCATTGGCCAAGGCCCGCCCATGACTTTTGACCGACATGTCAAACAACCAATCACAGTTCGCTTCGTTTCAGCGTCACATTTCGGGGCGTGGAAATGTTGCCACAATAACACTCGGACTCTCAATGTAAAACTCTCAGACGTATTTTAAAGATTCTATGCCGCGAACGTTAAATATTTCACACACTTTTGAGAATCCAGCGTTTAGTTGATCCTGATAAGCGCTGGTCGTCACAGTTGTAAACACGACGGCTTTCTTCTTTCGTGAGGGGGTTTGGCGCCACGGCATCTTCGTTTCCAGGCGGAACGTTAAAGAACGCGACACACACGTTTCCCGGAAATCCTGTATAATTCAACCAATCCGATGACAACTTCGAAACTCCTGAAGTGTTTCCACTTTTGTGTGCCATATGCATCAGACTTTTAGCCAACGGTATGTGGGCGTGACGTCTGAGGCTAGGGTTTCTGAGCCTCGCTCAAGGACACCTCAGTCATGGTATTGGTGGAAGAGAGCGCTGTACATTCACTCCCCACACCGACAATCCCTGCTGGACCTGAGACTCGAACCCACGCCCTTTGAGTTACAAGTCCGACTCTCTAACCATTAGGTCACGACTTCCACGACGCACTCAGATGCAAAGTAAAAAAAACACTACTAAAGTAAAAAAAAAACACTCTAAAGTTCAGATATTTGTATTTAATATAAATTTAAACTACCATACATCTTTATTAGCATTAGCAATTAAGTGTTTCTTTTAAAGCATATTATTTCCATAATAAGTACTCTTTTTAAAAGCATGCCAAAGAGTACTTCCATTATGGTGTCCACTGTGGTGACCATGGAAACTAATTGCAAATGTCAGTAACCACATGGTTTCAACCATAGATATATACATAGATATATATACGTAGATGCCTCATTAGCGACTGTTTCTATGTGCCGCGATACATAAGCCATCCACCATTTTTGGAACGGTCTGCGAACCTTTGAGCGCGTTGACTGTGTGCGTCTACAACAGCAAGTTACGCTTGTATCTCTTTGAATACTCATTGATAATTATGGTGAATGACGTCAAGTTGACCGTTCCAAAATGGCGGACGCGTCAACATATCTGGAGCGGTCGAATAGGGAATCTATACATATCTATGGATATATATACCGTATTGTCCCGAATATAAGACGATATTTTTTTCTTGGAAATACATCTGAAAAAACGCGGTCGTCTTATATTCAGGGTCTAGACTTTGACATGTCAATAATACACCCACAACAATAGGTGGCGCCAAATACGCATAAAACGAGTGTGCCATGAAATACGTAATGTAATGCGTGTTGTAAAGATCGCGAGTAAAAACAAAAGAAAAAGAAAACCTTACAGCTGCATGAGTCGTGACTGTCACGTTAGCCTGATGGGACCAAACTCCCTTTGTGATTTTAAAACGTAAGACAGTACCCAGATTTGAAGACTACAGTAAGATTTAACTTCTACTGTTAATAAGATTTTGGTAGGCTACTATTAGATGGATAGCCTAAATGTCCTAATTCAGATGGACTACCTGTTTTGTTTTGTTTTTTAATGGTATATCAAAAAGTGAATATTTTTTAAATGTGATTGTTGGTACATTTTACCAGTTTTTACCATACTTTCAAAACAAAAATTAAAATAGGACAAATATGCAATATGATAATAATTGAAGACAAAATGTGTTTTACTGAGAAAAAACAAGATTTGGTTTTTAAAAAGCCTTTTTCAAAAAGGTACATCTGGAAAAAGGGGGGTCGTCTTATAATCAGGGTCGTCTTATATTCGGGCCAATACGGTATACGTAGAAGCCTCATTAGCGACTGTTTCTATGGGCCGCTATACGTAAGCCGTCCGCCATATTGTAATGGTCAACTTGACGTCATTCACCATAGTAATCACTGAATATTCGAAAGATGCCACAATCCTGCACAGAACGGCTAAACGGCTCTGTGCAAACCTACAGAATGGTGAATGACGTCAAGTTGACCGTTCCAAGATGGCGGCTGCGTATACGTGCCTGGAGCGGTCGAATGGGGTGTCTATACATGTCTATGGTTTCAACACCATCTGAAAACAATTATAAAACTACACAGATTCTGTTGCACCACAACCACACCCACCTAAAAAATTTTAATCTCTTAACATCCTGACCAGCAGGACACAGCAGCATTGGCTCAACCTGAAATTGGGGACTATCTGTTTGTTCAACCAATGGCAGACGAGAGACTGTTCCGGAAGACAATATAAAAAAGGCATTATTTAAAAGTTTCTATTTAAATGTACAATAAAAAAAAATAAAAAAAACAGTTCAGCAAGCTATTTCAAATGTTATTGCAATTTTATTAAACATATTTTTTTATTATTAATAATAAGAATAATGTAATTGTTATTATTATTATTTATTAATAATATATTACAGTGTATAACTACAGACTTTCTTGCTTAACGACCACTCAAACCATTTTACTTTACGACACATATACAACAATATTATCATAAGATCATAATAATTGTTTATAACAGTGATATTATCATCATCTAGCGCAAATCTAATAAAAAATTACTACGAAGGTCATGTTTTGTAAAGAGGGCGCTATGTTATGTATTAGCAAGTCAACAGCCAGAGTTTAGGAAATTGCATTCACTGGTATTGCATTTTTTTTTCCTTACAATGAAAGTGAATGGTGATTGCTGTTATACTGCATAATATCTCCTTTTGTGTTGGTCAACACGAGGGCTAATAAATAATTATAAAATTTTACATTTTGGATTATTTATTTCTGATTTAAAGCGATAACATATGCGTTATTAATATATCTAAATGTAACAAGTTAGGCTGCGGGCAAAGCTATTTGTTGTATCGCGTAATTCGTAAGAATTCTCAATAGTAAACTTGCTTGGCACCGAAACAAATCGAAACTATGTAGCAAGAGGACAAACACTTTGACAAGTTCCCTGATAATATTGCAATCAATAACTAAAATCAAACATATTGCAGCGCAGCAGTTGTTGCGCGCGCATAACAACGGCAACTGAACGTCTCGCGCTCTCAGCTTTATGCCCTCACAGAGCCGGGCACCCACTGACCTCGTCCTGCAACATTCACCAGGTGCCCTTCGAAGGAGCGCAGGGCTCGGTTCCGGATGTTGGCGGATCTTCGCCAACGGGGGATGGAGATTGGAGGTTTCGCTCAGTCCTTTTGGAACCTTTATACTGTAAGCTAAATATAGTGTTATGTTATTATTTTTTTATTTATATAGGTGTATTATAAATTCCCCTCACTACACCCACACACACACACACACACATATATATATAGCTTAAAAAATATGTACAAATATTGATATAAATTTAATTAAAAATATATGTTTATCAAATTATATCGTGTGAAAATAATTAAAAATGAATAAAAAGTATATTGTAAGCTACATATTGATATATTTTTAATTTAATCTTTTATTGCATTTGGAATGTATTTTAATCAAAAGTGCACTAAAAACTTTTACATATAAGAAAAATTAAATTGGACGACAACTTTATATACAGATTATATTAAATATAGCCTATATTTGGATCTTACCTTGTCTCTCCGGTCATTTCATGACAATATTAATGCATTAGATGCCTTCTGAAAACATGAAGGTCATTATGCAGCGTGTTTAATTAGGGGAAAGCAAGCAGTCTGTCCCCATGGTGCCGAAGTCACCAGAGAGAAGCCAAAGAACAGTTCTGTTCAGGAGGAGGAACGTGGAGCATTATATTAAATATAGCCTATATTAATGCATTAGATGCCTTCTGAAAACATGAAGGTCGTTATGCAGCGTGTTTAATTAGGGGAAAGCAAGCAGTCTGTCCCCATGGTGCCGAAGTCACCAGAGAGAAGCCAAAGAACAGTTCTGTTCAGGAGGAGGAACGTGGAGCAAGAGCTGAAGCCAATGTGATTTTTTTTTTTTTTTTTTTTTTTTTTTTTTTTAGCAAATATTTTATGACTTTCATATTGTTTGGCTGTATCAAATTTCCTTCAACCCAAGTTTTTTTTTTTTTTTTTTTTTTTTAGAAAGAAGGGTATATGGCGGTATATTGTACCCCCTCATGTTATTTTAACAAAAAGCTGCAGTTAATCCGCAGTTCTTAACCATTCCGTTCTTATTAGTAAGGAATTCGTGCACTAAATGTACCGCTATATAATGATATCAGCACACTTACTAACAGTATAATCATCGTATTAGCATTTTTTATATATAATTATTTTTATTTAATTTTCACTGTAATACAAAAATAACAAGGCGTATTAGCATTTTTAAATGCATAAATCATTAAATTAAAGCTAAAGAAATTATAAAGTGAAAGTTAATTAACTTAATTTGGGAACGGTCTCGCATTTAAACATTCTCTGTAGTTCTAACGCACTCTTCGGTACGAGTACGCTACACAGTACGCAGCGCAACAAGCGCTCTTCTGACGAACGCAGAGTGTCGCAACCAATGAAGTCTCACAATACAGAGGCGCGTCTCTGATTGGCCAGTCCACGTGACCCGTGACAGCCAGTCGTCCAATGAGAGTTGAGGATGATGCGACATGCCATCGCACTTCTCCGTCTGATAGAAGCGTGAGGACGGTCTGGAGCGTAACGTGGGGGTAAGTCAAAGAAAACCTTATTTTATTGTTGAGATTAAAGCTGCTTGCTCATATGTCGTGGCCTGGAAATGACATATGTGGTTTTAAAATGCTTTAATGACTTAATCGCAGTGTGTTGTGAGGTTTAGAGCTGTAATAGTTAAGGTGTTGACAGATACATATGCTGCACATGTGCATGATGGGACATTTAACAGCCTTGGACACATGCATGACAGCACAGTGACAGCAATCAGACATGCAGTCTAGTGTATTACGGTTGGTCAGTCTTCTTCTTTTATCAGAGTTTCTCTTGAGGTTGTATTTCTCAAAAACCACATCAATGATCCAAAA